TTTCATAAATAAATTTTTAAAAGGGGAACAATGTAAAGCAATGCCTAAACTTCCAGTAAGAAAGGCTGTCAAGTATGACTGAGAAAAAATTATGTGACACTTCTAAGTCAGCAGAATTGTGCAAGTTATAGCCCAAGTCTAGAAAACTATGTATGAAATGTTACCTTCAAAAACAGTTGTTCTGTTTTAAGTCCAGTTAACCAGTTAGACGATGAAACCTGTACAGCTAGAACCACATCACATACCATACAAAAGGTGAAAACAGGGTTCACCTTTTTTTGGCTCCTGGAGCCAGCAATGTGGCATAGCAATTGAAGCTGACACCTGCAACACAGCATCCCATAAACATGGATTCCTGTCCCAGCTACTCCATTCAGAATCAAGCTCCTTGCTAATGCACCTGGAAACAGCAGCAGAAGGGGCACGGATAGCGGTGTAGTCGCATCAGCATCCCATATGGAGGCCAGGTCATGACCTAGCTGCTCCACTTCTGATCTGGTTCCCTTCTTATGGTCTGGGAAAAGCAGCAAAGAATGGCCCAAGAGGCCTGGGTCCCACCCTGCACCTACATGGAAGATCTGGAAGAAACTCCTGGCTCCTGGTTTGGATCAATCATTTGGGAGTGAACCTCTTTTTGTGTCCCTCCTCTCTCTGTAAATCTGTCTTTCAAATAAAATAAATAATTCTTTAAAAGAAAGGGGCAGGGAAGGAAAGAGAGGGGAGGGGAGAGGCGGCGCTCTGGGGCACCAACATGGGAGATCCAGATGAAGCTCCTGGCTGTGGTATGGCAGGACGCTGATCTTTGCAGCCATCTGAGGAGCAAAATCAGCATATGGAAGGTGCCTTTTTGTTTCCCTTTCTCTATCCCTTCTCTCTGATTCTTTGAACACAAAGAAAGCTATATAAAAGAGGGAGGTGAGGGGATGAAAAGGAGGGGAGGAAAAGGGATGGAAGGGAATAGGAAGTGGAGGGAATGGAAGAGAAAAGAAAAGGGAAGGAAAAGAAAGAAAAAAGTAAGGAAAGAAAATCAATTCAGACTATTCTACTGACAGTTTAACATTACACACCATCTGTGAAAAGCTTTCTTTAAACATACATCCAATGAGATGTTAGGAGGAAAGCTAAACGGCAATATATTTAAGAAATATCATTACCTAAGGTTGCTGTATCGTGTGGTGCCTTAACATGGGCACCAGCTGGAATCGAGTACATTCTCCCTTCTGATTCAGCTCCCTGCTAATGAGTTGGGGAAAGCAGTGGACAACAGACCAAGTGCTTGGGCCTTATACACTTGTGAGAGACTGGGAAGAAGCTCCTGGTTTTGGTCTGGCTCAGACCCAACTGTTATGACCATTTGGAGAGTCAGCCAGCAGGAGGAAGAGCTCTCTTTGTAACACAGCCTTTCAAATAAAAATTTAAAAATATTGTTAGCTATCATTAATTAATTAAGGGTTTAAAATTTAGTCTTTAAAAAAATAACAACAACAGAAACACACAGATTCCATATGCTGGCTCACCTCAAAAATGATCCAATTAGCCAACACTGGAACAGGCTGAAACCAGAAGCTAGATAAGTCTCCAATGTGGGAGCAGTGACCCAAAAAGCTGAGCCATTTGTGCTGCTTTCCCAGGTGAAATAACACAGAGTGGGTTCATAAGTATAGCATTCTGGACTCAACATGGTACCCTTCCTTATAACACAATAAAGCTGTAGGAGGCACCTTAAGACACTGCCCCACGGTGCTAGCCCTAAGGCCTAAGCTTCAAAGAGAAGATATCAGTAGGATAGGAAAAACCAATGTATCTGGCTATCATTTAAACTTTAATGTTAAAAATTAAAGATAATAGTAAAAGGTAAGCACAATTCAACAGCAAAGAAATTTTAAGTAACTGATATTTAAGTTATTTTTGTTAGACTAAAAACTCCAATATAAAAATATATATACCCTGGGAGTAGGGAAATTGTGGGAATCCCTCTGACATGCTACAGTTCTCACCAGTGAGCATGAGAACCATGGCTGCAGGCGGGCCTGACTGGACAGGCAGGGCACCTACTGGGCATGAGTTGGGGCTGGACAGTGGAGTTGGTCAGGCTGAGCGAGGCTTCAAAGCCCATTGACGTGTACAAGACTAGAATGGGATATAGAACAGTCTGGACTGGTCAGATGCACATGCCAGCATGTGTAGGAACTGGGGTAGGAGGCAGGCCTGGTGGGGGTTATTGGGGTTCACCCTAGCTAGGCCGCAGCTCCCGCTAGTGTGCATACATGAGGGCTGCTGAGTGAGTGGTGGGCAGGATTAGGCTGTGCCACAACATACACTGATTTGCCTAAAAGAAGGGACTGGGGACAGAACTGACCAGGTGACCGCAACTTCAGTGAATGTACAAGCTGATATGGGGGATTGGACTGAGCCAAACCCTGCACTGGCTGGCACACACAGAAGTCAAGTCTGCTGTCACCTCAAACAAGGTTTCTTTGGGGACTTCCCCCAACTGATTCACTGGACTCAGAGTCACAAACACAGGTAGGATCTGTGGTAGGACCATGGAATGCCATGTGTAAGGAAGTGGGTCACCTCAGTTGCTTAAGCCCAGACAGCATGCGCAGATGCTCACGGGGGACATGACAACCTGCAGAGGACATCTTGTACCACAAAGGGCAGAACAAATTGGTGTAAGCTCTCCCAGTAAAGTTTTAACAGCAAATATCTGGGCAAGTAGAGACTCTGACATGGACAATGTCAACAAATCAACCTTCGAAGGATTTCCTCAACCTTGGAGCAAGAAAATCAACAGCATCTCAGAACTATCAAAACCACATAAGTAGTGTCCCTGGAACATGCTCCACATCAGGGACCCTGGGATGATACCTGGTGGCCATCTGCCATCCCCAGGTACCAATGTGGTTGGGCTGCTGGGAGTGGACCTTTCTTTCTTTCCTGTCCCACTTTTCCCAAATACAGGAAGAAAAAGATTGGAGGCAATGGTCTCATTTACTTTCCCCTATTTCTCAACCTTATAAACCCTAATAAGTGGTCCACATGGGCATGTATCCTTCTCAACTACTTTATATTCTTTATTCATACAACTCTTTATTTATTTATACTCAACTTTACCCTCTTTTCTCTTTATAAATTTCTCTAGGTTCCCTGTTTAGGAATTCCCTGAGAACAATGAAGAAGAAATTTTGATTGAGAAGTATAAGGCATTTTAGAGTTTATAAAGCTCAAATTCAGAACACAATATGCTGCACGACCTAAAAAAAATTTTTTTTGAGGCACAAAATAACAGTATTTAAAATATTAGACACCAATTCAGGCTAATATACACATTAGTGTAGATTTAGCTGTTTTAATAATAAAGCATAGCATAGTGTACATACTTATATCAACTTAATGATTTTCTCAAGCTATAGCTTAAGAAAAAAAAAAGAAGGTACCTCAGAACTGCTTCTGTTAATAAATGGCAAGGAGGGAGGGCAGGACTGCGGTAGGGAAGTGTGATATTTACACTTGTATAATGGTAACACTCCCACAAATCACAAATAGGTCTAGTGTCACAAGTATCTGTTCTTACAAAGCTAGGGTTTACAACTTTACAACAGTATTTTAAGTGCACACATGATACGTGAAACTTCCTGGTTTCCCTTTATCTTTTGGGGTGAGGGGTTTAAAAATTCAATGGCATAAATACCATATTTTGCAATATGTTTGAGATAACATTTCTATTCCTGTGACCATGGGAATAAAGCTATCGCTAGTGAATCAATATTGGACAAACAAGAGGGGCTGGCACTGTCAGTAAGGACACCACCTGCAGTGCTGACATCCTGCATGCCTGTCCAGTTCCTCTTCTGGCTGCTCCATTTCCACTTCAGCTAGCTGCTAATACTCTGGTAAAAGCAGTGGAAGATGGCTCAAGTGTCTGGGCCCCTGACACCCATGTGGGAAACCTAGAAAAAATTCGTGGCTTCTGGCGTCAATCTAACCCAGCCTAGGTCAATATGTCCTCCAAGGAAGTTCACCAACAGATGGAAGGCCTGACTGCCTGTGCATTTTTGTGCCATGTGTGTATGAGAGAATGAGTGAGAAGAGAGACAGACATTGTATATCTCCCTAACTCTGACTTTCAAATAAATTATCACGGAGTGAGGGGGTGGACAGGATATTGTAGAATCTCTTTATGAGGTAGGAGAAAGAAATAAAACCAAGTTGTTAACTTTGATCTATCTTTCCCATGTGTATAATCTTTCCCATGTATAAATGTGGGATTGCATGCAGATTGTTGCTGGGTATATGTTTTTTAAAATTTGTTTAACCAAAACTTAGGAGGAAAATATTCCACTACTTCTGGCTGCACTGAAATTTTGATCAAAAGCATTATCTACATCATAAAATAATTCCCAGTTTATAATCCAAATTACAACGGAATATGAAGTTTTTACAGGTACTTCAGAACCATACAGAACCTGGCTAGCTCTTGAGTTATAAAAATGAATTTTCACTATGTGGAACTAACTAGTAAAGGCAGAGTCAAAAAGTAAAATGTATCTATAATAACCCTAAAACCACACACCACTAAAGATGGTTTTAGAAGAAATCTGATTGTTCACATGCAATTTTCATTTCCTAGCAAAAGCTGATAGAAAAACAAACTCTTTATTGCTCAGATTTCAAACAAATAGGACTTTCTGTACTAACTTTTATAATATGACTTTCAAGTATAGTGCCCTAAATAACTAACTGTATTTAAATTAACTGAAGCCAAATTTTAACAAGTTGAAAAAATAAATATAAAAGCAGAAAAGATCAAAATGTCATCAAAGCTGAAACTCATTTAGCTGGTTATTGGACTACTAACTACATTTTGTTTTAAAAAAATTTTTTTAGATACCACCTAATTATTTCAGATAGGTCATCCAATCCTTTCATACCCACCATCACACATAAAGAAGTCACAATATTCACTTTCAAAAACGTCTAATAAAAATTATTTTTACCTGTAAATTGTTTTCTGTGACTCTGTTCCACCAAACCATATTGATGGGTACTCCTGATTTACACCTGTCAGCAAGGCAGCCAATAGGGTTCTTTGCTTTCCGTGCCTTTGATCCCATCGGAACTAGCCTCTCCTCCAGCATCCCCAGGCGATACTTCCTTGGCTAGGAAAAAGAAGGAAAGAAACCAGGCCACTCCTAACATCCCCATACTAATCTAAACTAATGTAACTAACACAAAAAAGGTATGGAAATAGTAAAATAGAAAACAAGAAAATTTCTATGATAATCCTTTTAATATCCATATCACAGCCCACCATTTCCCACCCCCACCCCACACTTACAAAATAATCCAGTCTTTAAGAGGCTGAACAATATTATACAGAGCTATACATGCTATGGAGAAATATACTATAATCTGATTTTATTTAACAAATACAAATTATTTTATTAGTTAAGTAAATGCTTTGCACATTTTTTTCCACTGGCACTTACCTATTCTCACTGCTATAAGAAGAAATGGCTTCAAGGGCACAAAATACAGATTAGAAAAGTTCTCCATGCTATAACTTATTCTATTCCTCAACTGGCTGCCTTATTTCCACTTGTTGTTATGTTTCACTTGAGATAAGTAGCTGAATCTTAAGCAATGGATTTTGTACTTTAAAAACTGCTATGCACATTAGGCTAGAGTTCAAGGACAATCACTCTACCTCAAAAGAGCACTAAACTTAAGGTATCCCATGAAAAGGAATAACCTCAGACTTAAAAAAAAAAGTGACAATATTGTTGTCACACACATTTCTTTAGTCTTTAAGATCTCAATATTTGAAAAGATCATTATTGGACAACTGCAAAACATCATAAACTCAGCAGCTAACATTATAATGAAGTTATTAAACTATCTTAAGAGTGGTAAGTAGAGTTTTCACCATCTTAATTATAGTTTGCACTAAACTACATCTTAAAGGAAATTTGTGTATGTGTGTCTCATCTTTAAGACATCAGTGATATGTGTGTAATCAAAATAAAACCTGAGTGAGGGTGGGAGTTTGGGGGGGGAATCCCAACCTACACAAAATTGTACCACACAATCCAAAATTCAAAATAAAAATATATTTAAAAAAAAAAACCTGAATAAGAAAGTATATGTGTGCTCATGATTCCATCATGACTGCTGAAACAAATATTTTAAAGTTTCTGGAAAAAGAAAAAGAAAAAAACACTACATGGTTTTTAAAAAGTTTTCTAGTATAGAAAGAACCAAAATGAAGAAAACATATTGATTACTAAATCTTAAATACCATGCAAATAACTAAACAAATTCCCTACCCCACAAGTGAGATTCTTCCATACTGGCATTTAACAGGGTCAAAAAACATTAACCTTGCATGAAGAAAGGTAACTAGACTACTGACCACTGGTTGCTAGTAGTGGATGAAGTCTTATGAAGCTAAAACATTTCCACATTCCAGCTACCCTCAATGTCTGTATCAGAAGGAACTCCTGTGGATATGAATAATTATGCATCCTTTGTGGCTCATGGGAACATAATCAGCCAAAATTACTTCTAGTAACGTTAACTCCTTGGAAAGAGGATAAAACTGAAAATATGTTTTTGAGTCCAAGGCAATTATTAAGGTTTTGATATAAGAATATATTAAGAATTTAACTTTCATTAACCCTTACAGAATTTGTATTTCAGAATTCTATAGAATTTATATTTTAGAAAATTTCTGGCTAAAGATTATGAGAAACATTCAACAAAGTATACTTACTTAAGCTAAAGCACTACTTATCAAACAGAATGTATAGAACATTCATATATCAATGTGATAAAATACTGTTTTAAATGATTTACTGTTATTCAGAGCTTTCACAAATTCAGACACATTTTTGACTCAGTTATTAATTAGCACAATTTATTTTCTATAGGGAAGTACACTAAGCAACATATAAGAGTTTAAAATATATCCAACATGAGATTCTCCCTCCTCAATATTGCTCATTATTTAATGATGGTTCTTGCGTTTTTTCCCAAGAGGAATTCATTATTCCTCTACTCCAAACCATGCCCAAGAACCCATCACTGCCTAAGACTCTTCATCTCAAGTGGAAGAGATGCCCACACAGCACAACTGAAAAGAGACAGCAGTAATAGAAAGCATGATGCTTCCTTTACACAGATTTATACAAGTTTCACTTCATAGAATATCTGAAATTAAATTAGTACCTCATCTGCAAGATAATTTCCAAATTACAAAGATTATATTTATCTCTTTAAAAAATGTTTTAAAGTAAACATTTCAGAGTCTACCCTACTTTTGATCACGAATAGTTCTACGTACTTGGAATTTAATGATAAATTAAATATACTTATCCCTCAAAGAGACAAAACAGCAAGTAACACAACATGTAACAAACATAGCTTACTGGAATACAACAATGAGTATAAAATAAAGACACCAAATGCTTTCTGTGGAAGGCAGGAAAGAAACCATCTGATAAACAAGGCAAATGCCTGGGCAGCATTCTGATGGAAGAATAAGTGTGTATAGACAGTACAAACTAGAGAAAGAAAAACCTATTATATGTTTGGGATAATGTATATATAGTCAGTAATGTGTTTCAAGGAAATTAACAAGTATTCAGTATACCACTCATATATCATTAGATGGTCAAGTTTAACAGACAAAGACTGAATGCAATTTAAAAATGAGTTTATATCTACTGCTCCAAGCCATGAACAAAGGGAAACTTGTGAAAACTTGGAATTAAGACTTTAAAAAAAAATCAAGTTTGATTTAGAAAGGAAGTTCTTGCAATACTGTGTTCAAACTGTGGAGTGAAATCATACAAAGGCAATGACCAAATTCTGGGAAATATGTTTTCGGGTTGTGATATCTCATACTGAGTACACAGTACTCAGTACTTCAACAGCTCAGTACACTCTGAATAATCCTTTGTCCTCTACAAGAGAGGATGCTTAGCATCATTCTAGTACTCCCCACTGGACACCAGGAAGCACCAACGCCCTAGATGCGTCTCCAGATCGTCTTCCTGAGTTATGGGAACATAACTGATGCTAGGTAAAGGATATGAACTTGAGGCAATTACAGGAGAGCAAGTCAGCTAAAGCTTCACTGTGTAGGTACTGCAAAAATCAAAACCTGTCAGCGATTAACTACAAGGCAGCACTACAGAAAGGGAGAAGTCAAGTGCAAGATGAAGAAATATAAGCATCAAACAAAAGTTTATGGAACGTGTTTACTTTATGTTTTTTCAGTTCAATAAGGCCTAAGCTCCTCCTCCAGAATAAACTCCTCTTCCCTTTATTTCCTCTTAGCCTCTAAAATTTCCTACATAACCTTGGAAAATGTAACAGCTTGTTTTAAAAATGTAAATTCCCTTACTAATTCTGTATAAAATTGATGGACTGGTCAGTCGAAACTTGCTAGCTGTTATGCAATGCAAACAGCTTTTCTGCTCCATGTATATGAAAATTTCCAATCCTCTTCTACATAACTACTTTCCTTCTTCCTCTCCCTAACATATATGGGCAACTTTTAAGATGGAAAATAATTAAAGTGATGGATCTGGTTCCTTCTTCGTAAAATCCAAATGAACAAAAGACAGCTGTTAAAAATAGTGCTATCCTTTGTAATGGGAATTTTTAAAAGAAAAATCATTTAGGGCTTCAACATTTTCAAGGATACAAACTTTTGATGCAGTACAGAATTTTTCAAACTGCACTGAACACACAAATCTCCTCCTGCAGAATCTGACAGAGTAGGCATGGAGAGAGGGCTGAGATTCTGAATTTCTAAAGAGCCCCTAAGCTGCTCTTGCTACCGAGGACACTTGGGCAGTACAGAACTTCAGAATGTCAGAGAAAGACCTGGATAAGAAACAACCAGTGATACAAACAGGTACTGATGTCACCTCCCCAAATGAAAAGTGATATAGTCTTTGAAGTTCAATGTCAATTCATTATAGGCTAAAGAAATAGGTTCAATATCCCAACTCCATATATCTCTCTGCCCTTCCGAGTTCGACCTTAACACTCACAGCCTTTAAACTCACCAATAGCCCAGAAAATCCTAGCTTTCCACCCACAAACCATTGCACCAGCCCCAGCTTGACATCAAAGTTACACTGACTCCTAACAAGTCAGCTATGTCTCAAAACTTACTATGTCAAATGAAAAACTGTCAGCCTTAGTTTATGACTATGTTAGCTTTGAAGCCTACCTAAACACATACATACTTGCTGCACTAGTTCACTCAATATTTCAATATCAGTTTCTATGATTGTTGGCAGAAATACAATGACTGCTTAATTCTGTTCTCTTCTCTGAAAAAGATCAGTGTGCCTAAATAGTAATAATCCATAAAAATCACCAATTGTGTAGAAAATGTAGTTACATCAAGTTATAAACCTCTACTTAGCAATTTGAAACCAGCACCAGCACCAGCTCCAAGATACCTCACACATTATTATATAAAATAATCTATTAATGGTAAACAAAAGAAGCAAACTGTTACCACAGGACAAATGTCTGCAATGGCCTGAACTGCAATAACTCTGAACATTAAAAACAACTATTTCAGGATCCAAAGCTCCAGGAATAAAATTATGTGAAGTTCAATTGTATACATATATACATTTATATCTGAAATTTTGAGATTTTAAGATCCAACTGCCCAGGACAATTCTTCAATACCAAAGCCTTGAGATCATCCACCTGTGTGGGAGATCTGGAGGAAGCTCCTGGCTCCTGGCTTACGATTGGCTCAGTTCCAGCCTCTGTGGCCACTTGGGGAGTGAACCAGCAGACGAAGATCTTTTTCTCTGTCTCTCCTTCTTTCCGTAAATCTGATCTGTCTTACCAACAAAAAATAAACAAAGATTTTTTAAAAAATCCAACATCTTGACCTGTTTCATTATAGTTCTTTTGTCCTAATTTCACTGTTTCTGGTTCTGTTGAGGCAGCAGCGTGAACTGGAGATGCAGTGGGATTCTCTTCTTAGGTATGATTCTCACCATTGCAAACATTTGCACTTGTGACATTGGAGTCTCCTAAATCAAACCTCACCCTGAAAAACTCTGTGCAGATACATCTGAGCTCTGGTGTCTAAAAGTTTCTAAGAGTAAATAAGGTAGCT